TTAACCACAACACCATTTTGCAATACTGTATTTAACATTTTGAAACCTAAACAGACACTTAAATATCTGAAGTTCTACCTAAAATGGCAAAAGAGTGAAGGAAAACTGTGTATTCCTTGCGAGTCTCTTATACTTGTATAAAGTGAATAGGGATTACTAGAAAGAATCAATAAGAATTTACAGGGAAAGAGGAAGACACTACTCTGTTCAAAGATTGTGTGAGTGGTCCTTTCTCCTTCAAAGCTATTATGAAAATTGTGATGCTGATGAACATCTTAAAGGGTACTTATAAAGTGTTTATGTAAATGTTGAACAAATCTTTCATTTCTGCTTAATATATCTATCTTCGTTGAAGAGAGATGGATATATTTACTTAATTGGAGCCATGGTGGCACAGAATGCAGTATTGCAGGCTAATCCATCTCAGTGTCAGGAGTTCGATCTTCACCGGCTCAGGGTTGATTCAGCCTTCCATCCTTCCCAAGTTAGTAAAATGAGGATCCAGATTGTTGGGGGCAATATACTGACTTTGTAAACCGCTTAGCGAGAGCTGTAAAGCTTACATGGATCTGTATATAAGTGTAAGTGTTATTGCTGTTAAGTTGGGAATGAATAACAAGGACACTTGAAGACAAATGTAATTCTGTTGTTGAATATTTAAGCTTTGCATTTTTAATTTAAATGTATTCTTGCTAGCATTATAACTCTTACAATGGTCTATTTGAAATTGTTTAAAAAGTGTTTTAATTTTTTAATTAATTATTTTTAATTAATTAACCTTTACTCAAACACTTTACTTATAATATTTGAAAGAATAAAGCACTATCTATTTGAGAAGTAAAAACTATTCCTCTTGACTAGAGAGAGAGAGAGATTCATCATTTTCAGCTGCCTGGAAAGAGGCAATACAGAAGCTTCAAACAGTTCAAAATGCAACAGTGGGAGCCTTGGTGAACATGCCTTGATATGCCCATATAACATTTTTACTTTGCAAGCTGCACTGGTTGCCAGTTTGCTTCTGGGTTTGGCAGTTATTATTTGTAAAGCCATACATGACATAGGGCCTGATTACTTGAAGGACCACCTTTCTTTTATAGTGTCTGCCCAACCACTTTGGTCTTGTAGAATTAGCATCTTCTGGGTTTCTTTAATTAAACAATGTCATCTATCAAGACCCAGGAAATGTGCCTTCTGTAGCAGTGCCTGCCCTCTGGAATGAGGTTTCTCTTAAGATCCAGATAGACCCCACTCAGCTGTTGTTTAGAATAGTCATGAAGACCTGGCTGTTCACTCAGGCCTTTGGTAAGGGAGAGTGAGATCTTTCCCTTCATTCCATCTGTTCTGTTACTCTTGTCTTGTTTTATATTTTGTAAAAATCCATTATATTGTAATTATCGTGAGGTTGTGAACCACCCACAGTCATTGGGAGGTATATCAGTATTATTATTACTAAGTGAACAACAACATTGCCCCCTTATTCACTCTGATGTCACTGAAATTATTTGCATGTACATTTGAAGGCTTCCAGATGTTCCTGAATCCTAATAGTGTAGGCTTTAGGTCTGTATGGCAGCTAGTATAAACAAAGTTGAAAAGGTATGAAGTACTTGTGGGAATCACTGTCACTTAAATTGATTTGTGAAAGGCATCCATTAGAGAACTTCACGCTTGAAGGATTGTATGATACATAAGTATCACAAACATTATAAAGCTATATTATAATATTAATTATAATATAATTTATAATAATATTATAAAGATAATAAAAAAGGTCTCCAGCACTTAGTGGACTATCAAATCAAATTTTTATTATGGCCATAAGGCCAACAGATGGAAAGAAATAAAATAGTTAAAAATGAAAATAGATAACATTTAAAATTAATATACATTTTCCAGACCCAAGGAGAAATGAATAGTAGATACACATTGCAGAATTGGGCAGCTCAGAAGTGTATTTCTGAAATGTGGTCAGTCAGGAGAAAGGACAAATAGAATTTATGATCCCTCTCAGAAATGTCTTAAAGATAGGATAAATGAAAGATATATAGGATTTTCTGTAGAGATAGAACAGGGAAAAAGCTTTGCTCTCCATACTATTACATATACATTGAAGAAAGGGAATATTTTTATAATGCTGAAGCAAGATTGTATAGGACAGCGAAACGGAACTAAAAAAGTACAAGATCTCATCAGTTGAAAAAAAAAAACTAAACAGGATTGAATTAATTAGTATTTGGATCAGAGACCATCAATGAATGCTAGGCCTATACACTAAATTAAGAATTCAGAAAACCTCTTCGAAGAAGACTGTGGCAAATTGCTGTCATAACACTGTCATGTTCATCTAGTCACAAAATGTTGACATCTGAGGATATTGTTATGTTTCTATCTTGAAAGTTATGTGTGCAGAACTGAATTATCCAGACAAACCATAATAATTGGATTTAACTTTACAATCTCAATTTCCTTCCTCAGAGCTTTTGCCTTTATTCTTTGAAGTACCCAAAAGATTCCTTTTGATTTCAGTCAGATATGATGAGTGAATGGTGTCATCCACTAATATGTGTGATTTATTTCTCACATTGATAAAATAACTGACAGACATCAAAGTAAATTTATTTTGCTAATTTATATAGCTGGTCATCTCACAAATGTGACTGAGCAATGTGCAAAATTAAAAACAATACAACAAAAAATCTTTAAGAATCTTTAAAAAGACAAAAGTCATTTAAAAATAATAAATACTTGTAAACTGCCCTTCGTTCTGAAAAGAAGCAAGAAGCTCTTTACATAGGATGAATGGGAGGAAATAAACATAAACAAACCAGTTTAAAGTTGTCTTTATATAGATTTTTAATTTGAACAAAGAGCACTCACTGGAATTTTTCTTCTAATAGATTCTGTTAATTAGACGTCTAGGAAACTAGAAGAGATCCTAAAACGTTTATAAAAAATAAAGAGATCTTAATTTCTAGATCTAGTCAACTGTCAGCATATAACAGCTACAGGATGCCAATATGTAGTGATCTGCTCCAATTATATATTACGGCACATTTATCTGGATCATATTTCTATTACAGGTAGTCCTCACTGATTGTAATTGGGATTGAGAATAATCACTGAGCAACTTTATTATGACAATAAAGCATGATCTCATGAGCGCACTGACTTACAATGGCAGTTCCATCAGTCCCAATTGCTATTGTTAGGTGAATCCCATTATCATATGATCACCATTGGTGACTTCGAGCTGGTTTCTCTATTGACTTTGCTGGAAGCCAGCAGTGAACTTCCCAAATGTTGATCACGTGATTATGGGATGCTTGACTGTTGTAATAGCAGGCTGGTTACTGAACTCTAGAGTGATGATTACATGTCTATCGGGATAGCTGCAATATGAAGACTGGTTGTAAGTCCCCTTTGCTCAGCACCATCATAACTTTAAACAGTCACTGAATGATTGATTGTTATATGAGGATTATCTATAATTCAATTTTTATTCACTTTTCTATTCAGAGGCACATAAGACAGCTTAAATGCTAATCTGAAGGAAGTTATTTACAGAGGATGTTAAAGAACTCTTGAAGAGACTGCATTAATATAGTATAATATAGTATATGAACTACATAATACATAAGAACTTACTTAAAACAGGTAGCAGAAACCAGTTTGCATCAGAGAAATAAAAAAGATATTTTCAGTTTCCTGCAGCTAAACTCACAATAACATTAACTACTGGATCACAAAGAAGCCCTGTAGTAGTATCTTAGTTTGCAAATGGGAGAATTCTGTAATTCATGTAATTCCAAGAATTTAAATGGGGTACTTTCTGGCAGGCTTTCAAGATCTGTTATTGTACCCTACAATAATTGACTTCAAAGAATTCTTGCAGTGTCTGTTTTCTGGCCTGGTCTATCTTGAAGAGCTGACACTAGTGAATCATATAGAGTTTGTGTCCTAATTGCATTCTCTTCTGCTCAATTGATGGAATGCTGACAGCCTTCATCTGATGTACTATCAAAATAAAGCTACAGATAGTTTCCTTGTTTATTTCAGAAGCCAGAACTGTTTTCTTTCCTTCTTACACTTTAAGTTTATGAAAAATCAGGAAAAGGAAGTGCCATATTGACACTGCATGACACTACTCATGTTTAATCTGTTTCACTTGTGGCCTATCAGGATGGATCAAAGGAAAGGACCACCTCAGCCATTTTTAAGCAATTGAGAGATCATGAGGCTTTGTGCAATAAACCATCCAAACACAGCACAAATCATTCAGTGAAGGGATTTCAGCAGATTTCAAGAACTTTCCTCACTAGAAAAAAATGATAAGGTAACAGTCTGGTTTATCAGTTTCTCCACTACTACAGAATCAGTGCATTTTTTCCTTAATACATGAATACTGTTTATCTAAGGGTCTTATCATGCAACTGCCATTGCTTGTTAAAACAACTTCTGGTCTAGTTTTCTCTTTCTGTTCATTCTCAAATGGCTGTTAGGCAGATAAATTTTAGTATTTGGTTTATGGAACTGATTGAGAACAACAATATTTTTTTTTCAAAAAGTACTATTGTTATCATTTTTAGCCTGCTCTGTTTCTTAAAAAACCTCTGAAGGTGATTTACAAGGTTAGTGATGTGATTAAGTCTTATGATCTAAACCATGGGTGTCAAATTCGATCACGTCATGTGACATGACGTAGCGCAATGTTTCTTGCCTTTGCGGAGCCTGGGTGGCCTGTGCATGATGCATCCGGCCCATGGGCCACCAGTTTGATACCCGTGATCTAAACTGTATAAATTGGGATAGAAATCCAAATTAAATCATTTCTGATAGATGGCTCTCTAGACTGACTTTGAGCACATCTGACAAAGGAGAGCCTACTAGTTTTCAGAAATACTGTTTTTCTAACATTCAATTAAAAATTATAACCGTTAGTTTATATTCTGTACTCTGGAACAATGGAAAATAAGTTTTTACCTTGTGTCACATTCTTTCAGATCCTTGAAAAGTGCTATCCTATCCCATCTCAGTCTTTACTTATGAAGGTGAAATGCCCAATTTCCATCAAGGTCTTTGTATAATTTTTATCTAGTAAACTGATCATTCTCTTTGTTCTTCTTTTACTTTTAATGATCACATTTGGTATAACCACCTTTAACTTTATCTGTACACAATAGTCAGTATATCTATTGATCAGGATAGAATAAAGTGGAAATTACTTTAATTATTTGGAAATTATACTTTTGTTGATATACATTGTATTTTTCTTTTCTGCATTATTACTTCTGAGTTTTTCTGAGGATTTACAACTGTAAAAAATTAGGATCTTAAATATATCTAAAAGAATGATTGCCTCTGTTATTGTATATATTTTAAATGTGTACCAGTACACAACAAAACAATCACCAAGCAAATTCTTCAAGAGCAACTGTAGTAGTTATTCTAACAGCTGGTACTATCCTAAGACAACCAAAGAGTTTAACTTAATCAACACATAAATCATGTTATAGCCAATAAGGATTGGAGTGACATTTCTAGAATATTTGAAGAACACAAGATGATGCAGCTGGGTCTGTGTTACATATTTGAAATAGTTTATGGAATATTTTAATGTAGGAATGAAGACAAATGTTCTTGAAACACTAATTTAAAGCAGGTAGGAGAAGTGAACTAGGAATTGCTGTTTTCTTTGAAGAAATGCTGATGTTCTGTGCACAAAAATAAACCTCCCATGTTTAACTAATTTACTTCATGAACACATTTTTTATTCTTTTCATGTAGAATTGTTTGAGATAATTTCACATAAATACACATTCATTCTCTCTCTCTCTCTCTCTCTCTCTCTCTCTCTCTCTCTCTCTCTCTCTATATATATATATATATATATATATATATATATATATATATATATAGAGAGAGAGAGAGAGAGAGAGAGAGAGAGAGAGAGAGAGAGAGAGAGAGAGAGAGAAATAGTAATAGTAATTAAATAGCAAGCAATCTGCATGAGATAATGAAATACTTAAAACATAAATATTCACGAATAATGTAAGGCTTCTGCTTTCTGAATAAGAAGTTTCACAAATTTCACATAGGCACAGAAATAGTATTATCCTTTAATTTTTTTTACAAATAACTGCTTCCTATGAGAAGCCTTTGTTTGTAATTAGTTCTCAGGAAACTCGGGATTTGAGATTTTGTACAAGCACATTTACTTTTTCAGTATAACAGGAAGATCACTACAGTTCATCTATTTGAACAGGAATCCTTCTGTTGAAAAGCTCTTGCATGTTGCTAAAGCAATATTTGAAGAAATAAATGTCTGTCTCACGCCCCAATGTCTTGCATTTTTCTAGGTTTTTTCAGTGATCTCTTCAAAAGAAAGCCAAATTGTAACAAATAATAAGGTAATTAGTGCAAAGCAACTTGAAAAACAAAATGAAACATAATAACATAATGCCCTTCAAAATTTATTCCTTCAGATACGTTGAGAGTCACCTTGAACCACAAGATGAGGCAGCAAATAAATTTGATAAGTAAATAAAATACCCATAGAAAACTCAGGAAGCAATGTATCCGGTAGCTTATGCTTTTCTTTAAATTGAAGATCTCCTGCATAAGTTAGAAAAAAATCTAAAACAAACACATAAGAGTTTTAAGTTTAAGCTGTGGTGGCGCATGCTTAGATTGCAGGGGTTCGATCTTTATCAGCTCAAAGTTGACTCAGCTTTCCATCCTTCCAAGGTCAGTAAAATGATGACCCAGATTGTTGGGGGCAATAGGCTGACTCTGTAAACCGCTTAGAGAGGGCTGTAAAGCACTGTAAAGTGGTATATAAGTCTAAGTGCTATTTAAACAGCAGAGATTTCTACTTAACTCAGTCCAAGAAGCAGGATGTTTCCTTGAAAAATTTAAAGAGGAAATGGAGGAGATACAAGTGGCTCAAAAGGTAGGAGCTAGGTAACAAATGCAACAAGAGATTGAGGAAGAAACTACTATAATGGGCATTACAGGTATAGACTTTTTATGTTCACAATGTAAACATGAATTTGAAATGCTTAATGTGGAATATAAAATGGGCAAATACCTTGCAAAAAAGAAAAAAAGGTATTTCACTATTTTAAAACGTTAAAGCAAGATGTAATTGATTTACCGGAAATGTAAGAAAATGGACAAAAATATTTGATTCACAAAAATTTGAGGCAACAATTTATTATGTCAGGGACAAGTAAGCAAACGAGTTGTTTTATATATAAACCCACAATTATGATCAAAACTGGTATTGACTGATGATTATGGTAAATAGATAGGGGTTGAAATTAATTTGAATAAAAACCAAGATTGTGATATATGCTTAAATGATAACAAAGCTATATTCTTTAAAGGACAATGAAAAACTAATAGATTTGCCATATGGAAATTGGTGTTTTTTAGGAGACTGAAATGGCATAGTTTGCCCACAAAAATATAGATTCTCTGTGAAAGGCATTAAAACAACGGATGGCATTTTTAAAAAATGATGGATAACTTTAAATCTATAGAAATTGTAACTAAAAATATACTTCTCTGAAAAATACAGATCTTGTTGAAGAATAGATACATTTTGGATTTCTAAAAATCTTGGTACATGTATTAGCAAAGTGAGGATACTGCCAATAATCCAATATCTTTAACATACAAGAGGAGAGTTAGAACTAAAGCAAACTTTAGCTACAAAGGGAATCAGTAATGGAGGACTGTAAAAAGAAATTGAAAGAATTTTTTGAGATCAATATTTAAAAATTAATAATCACATGAAACCAGAACTTTTCTGATTAGGATTTATGAGCAGCCAATTAGAAACTATTTATGGAGGATTTTTTTTAAATGATAACAGCAGCAAGGCTACTACATGCACAAAGATTGAAAAATACTGAAATGGCAGAATTCGCAGAAATGGCAAAGTGACCTGTTTGATTGGGGATTAAACAATAAATACTATTATAAAAGACTGAAGATGCTTTATTAACTTTTGAAAATAAAAATAAAATCAGTAATTTTTGGATTTTCTGACTAAAAAGTATTGAATATGGGAAGATAGGGTTTTTCTTTATTCGTGTTACAATATCTAATAAAATTATGTATTAAGGAATCTTGCTGCCATTATCAGATTGGAGAGCAAAATTATAGAATATGTAATAAAGGCAAAGTTGAGAATATATATTCATAATAGAAGTGTAATCAAATGTAAATGGGAGTGGTTCCCTTATATACTATACATTACACAGCAAGACAATTTTAGACGGAATCTGATTTCTAAAATAAAACCATGAGACTGATAAAAAAGATACATAAACTAAACAAATAATAGCAATCTTCAGTGTTCAGTGTAAAACACAATATTCAGGTTGTGATCATCAGTTGGGGAAACAAATGGAAAGAAATGGAAAATATATCACTAGAAAATTTTCCCATGATGTTTTTATTCTTCATTTCTCCCTACTTTATTCTCCTGTTGCAATCTAATATAGACATTTTCATTTTATTATTCTAACAATAAAATATATTTCAAATTAAATAAATCTTACATAGATTTATTTACACAGACACGTGTGTGTACACCAAGCCAGGGGTACAATTCAAGCTCTAATAGGTATAATTTATTCATGGCTTCTATGATTAAGATTTAATAGTGTATTTGTTTGAAATAGTTGTAATTGAAAATATTAAAGCCTGGTCTCACTTAAATCTATCAGAACCATAATATACATAATTGACTTTAATTTTGTAACTCAGCTGCTTTAGTTCTAAGCATTTGCTTTTTTTTCCATGTCACTTATGTTGATAGTATATGTGTTAGTGATACTGCATGGGTGGGCCAATGGCTATTTGATTGGCAGGGACAGTCTGTTGCCATAGTCGTTTATAATTCCTGTCTATGCTAGGATAGTTTGTACTTCACTTAGCAGCAGACAGGTCAAGACACTTATTAGGAGAGACTGAGACAAAGGCAAAGCAGGCCCTGAAAAGCAAATCTCTGCTTTAAAATTCTCAGTTGTACTAGATACTATTTTGTATTACTATTTTTTTAGTAATGCCCTTTTATTGAAAATAATTTTGGACCAAGTGACAATAGTATAATGTCAAAACCAGGGAAAACTTCCTTAAATCATGGCTTGGTTTCTTTTGATCTTCCAAGTACAAAAGAGCCTTTGCCACACCAGACTGTGATGAAGATATTTAGCATCAGCATTATTACCCAAGGTCTTCCTTTTTGTCGTAGACGGGTAAGTGTTAAAACGTTTGCCCCTTCTATGGGAAGGGATATACCTAAGATATGAAATTACATATGTCAAGTATTGTAACTTAGTTGTAATTATTTCCAGTTCATAAATCATTATTTCTTTATAGTAAGAAAAATAAATATATAATATATGCTTTAAGAAGGTTTGATTCCTTTTTATTAGCACACTTATTAATCTCAAAATAAATGTCAAAAACAAATACGAGATTATGAAAAAAAATGTGTAGCATTTTCTGGAAATTTGCTCAGTGCTTCAGCAAGATAACTTCCTTTGTAACTGCTGATACAGATGAGGAATAAATACATGTTATTTGAGAAACATATTTTTTTTACCTTGTTGAAATGGTAACATTAATATTTTATATGATTAAAGTGTACTGAACATTTCATGTCATAAAATGACTTGGTTTCTCAGTAATAAATTGCTAGCTTTTAAGTTACTGTAATTTTAAATATTACTAATAAAGTCAAATAATTATATGTATTTCTTATATTGCTTTCATATTTCATGTCTATCTTAAATGTTTCTTAATTCCAAAACCTTTTCTTAAACAATTCTAATTAAATTATACTGTAATACTTCAGCAAAATGCTTTGATCACACAATATTACATGAGTTGTTTAATATGGTATATTTATATTTCTCAAATACTTCTTAAGCTTTGCTTGAAATTTTGAATTAATTTCCCGTGATGTGATTAGATATCAGTTCAAGATATCTATTGTTCTCTCAAAAATTTACACAGTGAAATCACTGAAAATAATTGCTTAAATGATCTTGCTTGCACTTAATACTAGAAA